AACAAGATAACCTAATTGAATATATTAATCCTGAAAACTAAAACACTTAAGGATGTAAAGCAATAATTATATCTAGATTTATATTAAAAATATTTAAATTTAAATCATATCAAAATTTTAATACCTCAAAAATTCTATTAAGAATTACCTAGAGTTTATCCTAATCTTTGTAAGTACTGAATTTAGTTATTTTAATTTTTTAACTTTTATGTTTTTAATATAAAAGATCCTAACCTATCTACAATTGTTCTTGTTTTCTTAAATTATTCCAAGTTAATATTAATATATTAATATATAATGATTAAATTTCTAAGAGTTTCCCCTAAATTCAATAAATAAACCAAACTATACTTCATGATAAATTTATGAATTCTAACAAATTTATAAATTTAATAATTGATTGAGGTCTTAGAATAAAAACTACAATTCATCAATAAATTAATTTTTATTTTACACTGCTAAAACTCAAAAAATTTCGATATATTCAAATAAAATGAAAGATAAATTTATTTATCAACGCAATATACATGGAAAACAAATTAATTTACCAAAGCAAATATAAATTAACAAAAAAATAACAACGAGAATGTAATGCATTTGAGGTTTGATTTTTATAAAGAATTAGGATAAAGCCATATCGATAAGATGAGAAACTATACAGCTAAGTTGAAAAGAAAGTCTCCCTAAAAATTTAACATCTAACGGAGATTGATCTTGAATTTGGAAATCGACAAGTATTTAGTAAGATCATTGTAGATACAGGAGAACTATTTTTGAAATGATTTACTAGATTCTCGTTTGCAATAATCACTGAAGATTTTGAGTTTTATTGAGCGATTTTACTTACATAACTAAATTAAAGAGGATCAAGAATTGAAGCTTATTATATTAAAGAGCGAATTATTTGATTCATTTTTTAAAAGGTACAGATTTTGATAAAGATCAGAGTTGTAATGGTTTTAGATAAGCTTAATGAATTTTTAGGTTTTATTCTTAAACTAAACTGAGGTTCTTTATTCAACATATCTTCAAGGATTTATTGAATTTGATCCGAATGATAGAACCCATATTATTACTGCATCTTCAGAATGAAACTCTTGAGATAGAGCAATAATATTCTATACATTTTGATAATTTTGGCTCATCCCTCAAAAATTTTTACTTTAGATTACCTAATAATACAACTTCCTTCTTTTATATAGAAATTGTTGTGTTCTTATCAAACCACTGATAGTATCACATAATTATAAAAATGAACTACTTGCTAAATTAATTAAAATTCATTTCATTTTAGTGATTTTTCACTTTTTACTATTACTTATTTCAGAAAATAAAATTTCATTATTATATTAAATTTATGAATTAGAACTTTGGCAATCAATAATTGCTCTTGGAACAGTAAAAATAGCTTGAAAATGCTCAAAAATATGATGGAATAATTTGGGATTATGTTTAAAATCCACCAAGAAAAATTAGAACAAATTTCAATATAACAGTTACAAAGAACAAAGAAATTTTATACTTAAAAGACGGATTTATAATGAGAAGGTAATTTAAGAAATGTTATTAACTTTAATAGAGATTAAGTTAAAGAAACTTCAGATAAACTTGAAATTTTAACAAATTTAGAATAAATAAAACATTTAAAGTGGATTGGAGATTATGGAAAGAATAGTTAAAAGTTTTAAAAATGGATGGCAACTTGGAAAGGAGAAGTTCTACAAAATGTTGGTGGAGTGTACAATGAGAATGGAATTAAAGTAGGTCTATGGAAAGAAATAATTTTAAATAATTGGAGGTAGTTTAATCAAGATTTATTTTATAGCAAGGCTTAAGTGTATGAAGAGGGTAGATATGAAAATAGATTAAGATAAGGAACATGGAAGTATATATATTAAGATTAAGAGATGTATTGAATAATATATTAAATAAATAGTGGTGGAGGAGAATATAATTTTTAAGGATTGAAAAACGGAAAATGGATGGATTTGGGAGAGGATTTTTGGTAATTGTCACAAGAAACCTATCGCGGTGAATTTAAAAATGGAAACAGAGTCGGAAAATGGGTAATCAGGGTATAAGAAGCAATATTGGGATTATTAAAATGAGAAAATGTATAATTATTGTGCCCTAAATTATCATTTTGTAGTGGTGGTGGATCTTATGATGAAGAAGGTGATGGAAACAAGATTGGCATTTGGGTTGAGTTGTCAAATGGATTCTACGATTCATCACAAACAACTTATATTGGCGAATATAAAAATGGTAAGAAAATAGGTAGATGGAATATTTTTAATACTTATGGAGAAAATAATGAGATGTAAAGCTATTATAAACTTGATTGTGTTTAGTGGATGAGGATCATATGATGAAGGAGGTAATGAGATGATAATTGGTCATTGGATTGAGCCTTCAAAAGGATTCTTTGATTAA